GTCACTTGTTCACAATGGACCTCTCACACTCATCCATCTTCCCCCCCTCCCCCCCCCGTTCTCTCCTCACTCCCCAGTAACCGGCTAGCCCCTAGCAACCACGACCGGATACAGAGGCTGAGGCAGGAGTTCCAGCAGTCCCAGAACGTCCCTGACGACCCGGACGACCGTAGGAGGACCTACAGCTTCGAGCAGCCGTGGGTGAGTGTCTGAAATGACAGGAGCCTGTCTGCCGGAGAAGATGGTTAGACTGTAGGACTGTTCATGTCAAGAAACGACCTCTACCAGACCACGACTCTGGACATGTAACTTCAAATGCTAGCCTGAGGAAAGAGCTAACAGTGTTAGCACCCGACAGTACCCGTGGCTAACTGGAGTATGGTGCTAACCATCACTAACCCCACTACTACCAGCTATGAACAAGACTGATGATATCACCCTGTCCCCACCTTAGGATTACCATTAACCTCCATGGGCCTTCCTGGCTAATTGTGCTAATGCTAACACCCCTCACCCTCAAATGTTCAACCACCTGCATGCAGGAGTTTGCACACCTCCTGAACCAACCATCACTAACCCCACCCACCTGTCACAATCTACTCATTGTTCCTGTTTTTGTGTGTCACCCACATGGAACCGCCCGCCACCTCATGGATTTGGGTTTGTCTTCACGTTGTTTCTGTGTACGGGGGGGGGTCTCATTGTACACCCTTTGTTTTAACTGTGCCTTTTTACAGTTTAAAGGTGAGGTTGTGTACGTGACATTTATTTAATCCAAAGTTTCACTGGTTAACAAGAGGGGATAATTAGTGCATTCTGAAGCAACATGGGGTAATAATAAACGAGCAAAATCTGAATGCCTTCAAAGTTTTTTGGAGTGATGAAATCGCTTGTCATATTTTTAGTATTTATTTAGTCCTCCCTGCTTCCTTGCACCAAAACTCAAGTGCACTTGGTTTTACATTATTTTACATAACAAATCATGATGATTATATGAACAGTCAGCTGTAGCAAATGAAAAATTTTAAAGACGAGATTTTACTACTTTTTTTAATTGGTAGCATCTCTGTGTTATGTGTATTATATTATTGTTTTACACACTAAAGGAGTCATTTTCACCACATACCTTTATCTAGTCTGGGACAGCACACATTTTTGTTGATTTCACACAAATTCTATCACAACATATTCTAATACAAACACATTATGACATGTTACATGTTAGTGTAATGAATTTAAGCTCGTGATAAGTAGCACAAATTTGTGTTGTCCCAAACTAGACACTAGGTGTGATGTAAATTGCGTGCTTTACAACAAATTATATAAATTTTCCTTGTTGGTTGTTTCTATACAAGGTCATTTTCCACACACAACTGTGTTTTTGTATATTTCTATATGAACTCTTTTTACTGCTGGTGTCTACACTACAATGTCCCACTGTAGCTTTGCCCCATCTCTGGTATGCAATGAGAGAATTTGGTCCTATGATTAATAAATTAAATGATAAAGTTACAGCTTACGAACCACATATTGTATGCTCTGGCCTTTTTCTAGCTGATAAATCCAATAAAAATGTATGGTTTTGTTTTGCATTCGGCAGAGTCATGAGTCTTAATGGGTTCGAAGGACTGGTGCACATTCCAGCTGGCATTGTACAGCAAAGCAGCACAGTGTGGGAAAGAAGTGCGCAGGTCACCTCTCCCTTTGTCGCTAAACAACCGAGCATGCTCTCAATTAAAGAGCCCAACAATACTGCAGCATTATGTTTGCTTACATCAACTGCAGCACATTCACTATTGTCACAAGTCTCATTTTCCCATGTCAACTCAGTATTAGGTAAACCACACTCTGAAAGTTAAGGATTCCAAAGAGAGCTTTTGAACATTAAAGGGTTCTTCACAAAATGATTGTTCATACAAATTTGTGTAAATTTACTGAAAACAACTTTTCCTAATCCGCCTCTTACTGTATGCAGTGGGGTTCAGCATAGATTTTCTGCAGTCTCTGGTCAGAACTATCCACCTATCCATTTTTTGGATTATTCTGCTTGGTTGCCAAGAAATCTTTGACATAGGACATGAAAATTTTCTATACTAGTGCTGTGCGATAGTAACATAAATGAGTTTTGGTACCCATACAAAACATTACGTTTTACAATACCTTACTTTGAGGAGTATAATAACATTTGTCTAAGCATGCGCAGCCATACAAGAACTTTGCTTAAATAAAAAATTGGGATTGAAATGAAAAGCTGCCTAATGCAAGAATAAGTAAAGTAATAAGTAAGTTTGCAAATCTCACTAAGCATTCAATTCTTACATTAAGTACTACTGAATATTTAATTCTATAAATAAATACATATATCAAACCAGCTTTTCTGTTGCTTTAACTGGGGGATCTTCCAGGAACCCTCAGTCTGAGGAACCCTCAAATGATCTTTTTAATGCCCTTTACCTTGTCAGAGTGCATCTCACGCTCAGGCTTGCTGTAGTAATTGCCTGTTATTAGGCTCATGGCCTGGCCATACTGGTGGGCCGTATGGAAAGCAGGAGAATGTGCCTTTGAAATTCAATTACCTCCCCCATGCATATATTACATTTTGTTGCTTCATCTGAGCGATGTGCAAGGAGCCAGTGTCCTTTTCCTTAATTCACCTACAACTGCCCCACTTACAGTGTATGCCAGGATAGTGCTGCATATGAGGTACTGCTTACATTTATATGCTGTTTTTAATATGGCAGGAAATGGTTATGCTAAAAATAAATCAAACAGATCAAATAGATCTTAGGTAGGTTTGCAGAAGAAAATATCTATTTTTGTGCTGAAATGGTTAGTCAGATAATCATTCATAGATCCATAGAGAAGTTAACATCGATAGAAGTTTTAAGTATTTTTCCTAGGTCCAGATTCTGAGATTTGTTACCTTTCTGTTGTCATTGTTCATCATTGTAAATATCTTTACTTGTTTTGTCCAACCAACAGTCCAAAACTCAAAGTGAAGGCGCCGGCTCGGACTCCCTACTACTAAACTATAAATCAGCTGATCTAAAAGATAATAGTTTACTTGATATTAAAAACACAAGCTGTTTTCTTAACCGTCCCTATTTAGGCACATGACGTTCTCCAACATATATCAACAATATCTCCCGTTTGCGATGGGAGCCCCCTCCTCTTTTTCACCATAGTTTGGGGAGCAGGGGGGTGATTGTGGGTAGCACGGTCTAATTCCATCAGGATGACTGATGCTGGCTCTCACGGCAGCACCGCGCCAGCTTTATTGCACTCATTTATACCACTAGGGGAAAAGAGGAGTTCATTCACTTGATGCTGGGGGTTTAGAGAGGGCATAATATTTCCTCTTGTATTTTACTGCAACATTTTAATACTGCTATTATCTGGATTCCTGTAGGGTGTTTTCCCCCTCCCCTCTACAGTCACTGTGTTGAGGCAGATGAGCCAATATATTCCTACTGTAGGAATATTCAACAATCCTAAACTGCTAAGGGGATTTCTTTCTCATGTGAAAAATATTGGGACTGTAATTTACTCACGGGTAATTTTCAATTCAGCTATGCAATATAGTTGTGTGGGTACTCACCCTCCCTCTCAGCTGTATGCCAGCCTATCCTTGTGGTCGACTGAGCACTGAGGCAATGCCAATCAATTCCAGAGATGATTGCCCTCGGCTTCATTTGGTTTAAAGGGGAGTGTCTTTTTAGCACTCTTAATCGTTTTATGGCCTTCCCACCAACTGATGTCCACAGTGATCCCGCCAGGCTCTGAATACATTGCACAGCCATAAAAGTAATTAGATTGCCTTTGTGTTACGACACAATTATTGAACCCACACCACTAATGAACATTGGAGGAGCTGAAGGAGTTGTGGTACAAGCGTGGGCTGGACCTTGAGGTGGTGCTCTGCTGCTGAGAGCGATATTAGTGTATGCTCTATGTGTGGATGTGCACTCTCGTACATCATCCATCTTTGTGAGGACCAGTTTTTAGAACTTGACAGTGAAACATTTTGTTCGGTTCTGTTTGGGTTACAGTTAGCTTTAGGTTAAGGTAAAAGGTGAGGGCTTATGTCAGGCACATAGTGTCAGAATGCCCCTCGTCCCACACCTTTCCAACTTCTTAATGTGGCGGGAGGAGTAGCATCCAACAGTTTTTAAAACTGAATCACACCTACTTTGCCCAGCAATTAGCCATGAACAGAGGGTTACGGAAGTAGGCAGGATTTGAACGTTTGTCCCAGGCAGCTGCTTCCGTCTTTTTCGGTGTAAAACCCAAGTGCAACACCATGTGTGCCTTTAAAGAGAGAATATATGAAAGTGTGTGCCATTATCCCCATTTGAAAAATAAATTCTGTGATACTACAGTGAGTGAGGACATACGGCTTTTAGAGAACAATCAGGTAGAAAATGGGATGCAGCCGGGGGGAGGCCAAGACGGCTATTGGGAACAGGTATAAATACCTTTGCCTTTAGACATGGTTGGGCAAACATTGTACAAACTAGTTTGTTTCAAGGATACTAAACCCCTTTGGGTTGGAATAAGAGATGCATTAGTGTATTTTAATGAATGGCTGGGTGTTTGTGCATATGCCTGTATATACATTCATAAAATAAAAGAATAATTCCTTTAAAATTATATTTTGCACCTTAAAATCATTACAAACTTTCAGATATTTACAAATGTACATTTCACTCATCACGACTGTGTGTGCACATGTGACATAATAACATGAAGGTGATTATCTACTGTACAAGGCTGTTTGGCGAGGGAGGGGGGGGACTGTCACAGTGTCACTACACCGAGTGTTATCTCCTTCATTAACACCCACTAACCTCCACATCGTCTCATCACTGCACCCCTGCTCTGAGTCTCCAGCATGGCCCCTCCCTCACTTCCCTTCCTGTCTGTCTGTGTCTCACCTTCATTTTGACCTGAGAAGAGACGAGCTCAGGGTGTGTCTGCCCAACTAAATGCTGGTAAGTGTCTGTGGTTTGGACTTGGGGGGGCGGGGGGCAGTGGGAGATTTTGTGAGGTGTCCTGTGTCAGGGACCGCTGCTAGTTTTAATGGGCTACTGTGTGGAAACCGTGACTTCAAGTGTGTTGATTTTCAGTTATCCGAGGAGGGTAAAAATTTTGCATGAATTGTTTATTAGGAAAAAATACGATATTTTCATTTGTTCTAGCAGACATAATGCCTTTTAGTCATACAGTACCTGATTCATAATGAATTCATCCTAATTATGATATCTGAGCTTGATTAAACCCATCATAAGAGATAGATTTGAGTGTCTCATTGCTTTGGGGTAAAAATCTTTTATTTTTAAACATCAGTTTTTCAAAAAAAAATTTTTTATAGATGATACATATTTATCACCCACAGGTGCCCCAAGCAAAAATACAGGATGAAAATTACCATAGCTGGAGTGGAAACCAAAAAGCCTTAAACATGAAAATATTTTAATTTACAATATAATCTTTTATTTATTTATTATTTACACTAACTTGTGTTAGAGTGTTAGAACATCTCCCGTTCATGCATCTATCTTGCATTAGCGCTGCAGACAGTTCAGCATCCTCAATATTTAAGTGAACACAGAAAATTCATCAATATGTATTTAACTCTGGGTGTGTCAACGCAAAGTAACTGTCACAAACAAAAATTTATGTCTGAGATCAATAAAATAATATTAATTTAAACACTGTACATCAAATGTCCACAATGTGCTCATTTCCACTCATTGTATTGGGCGGGATTTCAATCAAGTGTGAATTCTTGTCAAATAAAAACACATATATGGAGTAATAATTATCACAATGGGGACATCAGAGTTAACCAAGCTGCCATCTTGCTGTTTTCAGTCAAACACCAGCAGCAATGGTCCGGGTGGGTACAGCCAACCGGGTCGCCACTCGGTGTCGGTCGAGGTTCAGATGCAAAGGCAGAGACAGGAGGAGAGAGACTCGTTCGCCCAGGCACAGCGGCAGTACAGCTCCTGCCACGGTAAGAGTGATGGAC